GCTAGTCCCGTCCTGATGGTACTGATCATGGTACCGATACCAAATAGTTTTTGTTGTAGTTTTTTAAAAATCAATTTCTTTTCGATTTTTATTAATTAATTAATTAATTAATTTATTCATTTGTTGGTGAGTGGGGGTTGTTTTTTTTGTTATTGTTTTTTTTGGGAGGGTGGGGGGGGGGGGGGGTCGTGTTTTTGCTGATTACTGATTAAGCTAGAGTGATATGAAAATAGGCTCTACATTGGTTTGAGACTGCACTGGTAGCATTTTACAACTAGTTCTTTAAGATTCTCCCTGCGTCAGTTCTTTATGATTGTAGGCTGTGTACAAGTATTGTCTTTTTCTGCTCCTTTGCCTGGGCCAAGGCTAAAACAGCACCTGGACATGGATGGCTGGTGCCTCTATAAATAAATCATTGATGGTCTGGTCTGCCTGGGCCAATCGACAGGCCTCCTGATATTTTTTTGTTTGTTGCTGTCCTCATCTTCACCGAGATCTATTGCTGCTCTAGGTGCTCCACAGCGAGGGCATATTATGTTATTATATATAATTTTTGCGTAAAACTATTATGTTTAGAATTGGCCGTAACACTTAAAAAACACCCAAAAAAGAAAACAAAAAACCCAAACAAGTATGACAAGGTGATTCGATAGAGCTCCAGCTATCGACAAATCGAAATGAAATGCAATCTAACCCCTCTAACAGTGTTCGATTACACCAGAAGATGACGTCAAAGTCGCTCTTACCCGGTGCAGCCAGCAGCTCAACCCACTTTACAGACTAACCCTGCCACCATGACGTTTTCTGCCCCTTTAAGAAATAACAGGAGTCATTTCTTTTTCGATATCGGCTAAGCTCATACAAAACTTTAGTGAACACTTTCTTTTATTTTAATAACTAAATTTTAATATATAGTTTAATAAGCTCCAAGATTTGGGCCAGTTCGTCTGAAACTGCTATCGTTTGGGACACTTCTTGGAGCACAAGTTGTTTTGAGGGTCTGTGAGGCATTTACGTTCAAAACCTTCGCGTTATAGTGTCTGTAAAGGGCGAATCATTGCGACAATTTTACAAAGGAACATGTCGAATACATCCCGAGTTCATTTGCTCTCCTCCTCCCCTTTAAACAACAAACAAACAAACAAACACACACACACACACACACACACACACACACACACGCACATACATTCGGGTCTCACCACTCCAAGATAGTATCCTCGCAAAGCATCATACAAGACAACGCCTCGCCTCAAGATTGGGTTTGATTTTTAGTGAAGAGAAGCGCATCGACACAATTAATAATGGTCACTTACAGCAAGAAAAAACCTGACCGATAGACAGAAACAACAGCATGTGAGGAAAGAAGCCAGGGCCTACCAGAGTCACCCTCCAACCAACCACCTACTCACATTAATTTCTTCAGCGGCCCAAACAAGTGCTTCAAAATAAAGCCAATCCACAGTCAAATCACACTCAAAGCACAAACAGCGAGAAACACAGAATATTGTTTAAAAAAAACACATAAACAACCGTTAACAAAAGCAGCCCCAGATAAAAAAACAACAACCCCCC